TGTAACTTCCTGAAACTTTCATTTTTCAAACATTTTTTTACTTTGTCTTTTTCACCTATGTCAAAGCTGTTGAAATAAAATGTTTTTGTAATTACCTGTGGTCTTTTTATTAGTTTTAATCACGTTTAATCCACCCCATTGAAATACAATGTGAAAATTTACAATGTATCTGCAGTCAATAACTTGCAGCGTTTTCGTTGGCTAACTCTAACTTATTTTATGTGAACATAAGATTGATACATTGTATACTTGGACTTCCTCTGTGAAATTATTATGAGCTACTTGTTCACATAAAATTACCTTAGAGTTAGCCAACGAAAACGCGGCAAGTTATTGACTGCGGGTGTAAATTGAAGATTCTAACATTGTATTTCAATGGGCTGGATTAAACGTGATTAAAACTAATGAAAAGTCCACAGGTAATTACAAAAGCATTTTATTTCAACAGCTTTGACATAGATGAACAAGAAAATGTAAAAAACTGTTTGAAAAGTGAAAGTTACAGAAAGTTACAGGGTGGGGGGTATACTACAAAAGTACCTATACATGTATGTCCTACAGTTATACTGCTTTCAATGTTGTTTTTCACAATTAAAGGATTTTATTTAACAAGGGGCTGCTATACACCTAATTTTATTCATAACGAAAGAGGGTCCTCTGGCAAAAAAGGTATCTTAAAATTACACGCATTAACCAAACGAGAGACGCACGCGGATTTGTGTCAAATGATATAAAACAAACCACATGGGGGGGGGGGGGTAAGAGCCGGTATGGTTATTTTAGAATTGAACGTCAGGTAATTCAGATGACAATTTTTCTCTATATCCTTGATGCATGTTTTCAATTAGGCCAATGTACTTTGTGGTCAGAAATGCCCTAAGTGAGTAGAAATACACCACCAAATTGACACATAAAACACGCACCTGCTCTTGGTCGTCCGCCATCTTGAAATAACTGTGTTCTGCGGGACAGTTTTCATAGCACATAAATTTTTCCTCGCATTTTAAGTCCCATCATTTGTCATTTAAATACATTATAATAAATGCAAAATTTTTGTTATAGTTGGGAAAAATATAGTGTAATATTATATATAAATCTAGAGGACTTGTTTTCGTATCTGTCACTCAGTGCAAATGCGCCCCATGTGCGCGGCTATTCAGTTTTCAGTTTCCCCCATTGCCGCCGGTTGCCCAGATTTCAGTTTGATTTTGTTGGGTAAGTTGTAGGGGTATTGTGTGAAGAAACATGGAGCGACTTCGACCATTGGACATGATTGATTATTCAGCCTACAGAAAAGTTCATTTCCTCCTATGAATTAGAAAATAACCCCTGTATTCTTGAATATTATCGCAAAATCCATTTCCCAACCCTCAAAACATAGAAACGGATATTACTGAATTAGTCTTGAGTTTTGAAAATTCACATCATGAATAAATTGTTCCAGGGTAAACATGGCCACGCCAAGCCCCTCCACACCTGCCAGATACCGCCTGGGCAGAGCTCAGAGACCAGAGGTGGAGGAAACGATGAAAAAGAAAGAGACTATTCAGCATTCAAAGACGGCATTGCTCTGGGGAATGGTGAATTTTATCATGGCCACGGCTATGCTTTTTGAGTTGTGAGTGGATTAATAAGTTTTTTTCAATGATCAGTGGGTCTAGAGGGGGTGGGGGTGAGGCAAGGATTTTAAATGTTAATGTGCAACTTCAGATTAAGGCAAAGCACACTGGTTCCCATAAATCTGTTGTGCTAGCAGGATCGATCTAACACCGAGGGGATTCTTGCTAAATTGCTTTCAGCTTAAGCGACTTAAATGTCTGTCATGCCCACTGAAGCTGCAAGGGGGGGTAATTAACTTTCGTTCACGTTTAAACTGAATGCAATTTAGTGAGAATCTCCTTGGAGAGAGTGGGTATAAAGAATGATAGAGAGAATTTTTGACTTTATGGATATAGAATGATTTAAATGATACATATGTTATGAATTAAGAATTTTTAATGGTGGATATGATGTATTTTTTAAAAAGGTTTTTGGGACCTGTGGCAAGAAGTTTGAATCTTACTCATCCAGTTGTGTGGTATTGTGGTAAGTTTTAACTGAAATCTTTAAATTTGATTTTTTAAATAATTGTAAGATCTGTCCTTTTTTGGATTTGACTTCCCGTTTGAGATGTAATATTATGATTCTTGAGGAATATATGTACTTAGTTGGCAGAATTATGTGTTTTCAGTTTATATGTCCAGTTTCATAAATGTTGTGCTAGTATTTGACTTGAAACACTTTTGAGATAAGTTTATGAATTACTGGTCACTTACAATGTACATCACTTATCTTTTCAGAATGTGCCATAGCAGCTGTTTTTACCTTCAACTTTTTGGTAGATTTCATCAGTTACTTGGGACCTGCACTTTCACCTAAACCTGTAGAACTGACAGAGAAACAACAGAAACTTCTGGGAGTGAAAGACTCGGGTACATTTTATTTTCTAATTTGAACCTAGGCTCCTTCTCCACGATAAGACTGGCTCAAAATACAAAACAAAGAATGGTTTGAATATGATTTACCATGGTAATTAAGGAAAAAGTGATGAAGTTTCCAGGTAAGTAAATTCTGTTGAATGATGGTCTGTCACTAGTTGTGAAACTTTTTTTTTTTTTAAATTTCAGATCCAGGGTTCAAAGTGTCCCCAGAGAAAGTTCCATCATCTGTTTCTCCAGATGGAACCATACCCTTCTCCCCCAGTAATGTCAGCTTTTCTCCTGGGAGTAGCTTTTCCAGCCATGGCAGTGGGTCCCCAGGGTCCCCGGGGTCAACAAACACCACAATGTCCCCCTCACTTTTTAGCCCATTGACCCCCATCTCACCGCTGAGTTCCAGCTATACCTCTCCATCAAGTCCTGGTCACGTGACCTACCATAACCAATCACAGTCCTTTTATGGAAGCCCGAGTACTTCCTTTGGAAGGGTAAGCTTATCACTGCAACTTTGAAGAAGCCTGTTCATTTGTCTGTAAAATGAGGGAATTTCCCTTTACTTTTACAGATTCATTTTCTTTTAGTTTTGATATGCACATAATAAATGCAAAATATTAATTTTTATATTAAAATTGAGTGTACAATGATAAGTCAAAGATGTTAATAAATGATTTTAACAGTGATTGCCTTTGCGAGATAAATGTCAAGGATAAAGCTGAAAATATTCACCATGATAATCTATTCTAAAAAATGTGAAAATTATTACATCTTTTTTGTCAAAATGTAGATATTTGATAGTTAAAAAATTAATTTGACATAAAAATTTGTATGCGTGACCAGTGATTACAAAAAAGGAGATAAATGTATTATCATTATTTCTCCCACAGAATACCAGTCCATACACCTCTATGAATACATACGGCCTGTCAGCACTATTTCGTGAGACACCAGACTCCAATGGATTGATGAGAAGGGCATCCAGAAACTCTCCAAGTAGGGGGTCAAAATGTTTTATTGTATATTTGTTAAAACTAATACACTTAGAGTAAATGTGGAATTTTTAGATTACTTTGTACATTTATGGATGAAAAAAAATATGTTCTACAACCTCTGTCAGAGTTAGTGTAAGTATTGTGCCTGATGTAATGCTTTCAGCATATATGATGTGATATTTTCCATTTTTACAGTGAGTGCAGACAATGTAATCTCAGATATGGGATCTCTTCGTCAGTATCTTCAAGAACAGGAGGAAAGAGAGTTCAAGTCACAGCTAGGTAAAGGAAAGTAATAACACACATCAAAATTATACATATTCCCAGAAGAAAGCTAGGTTTTGGAATTAATTTACTAGGCTGCCACTGGCACATTAAATTTTCTCAATAAGTGTAAAATTTGAGTTTGCTCTTGAGTACCCAACAGGTCAAGAAATGGGAAAGCAAGCCAAACAGCTGTAATTCTTGTGATAAGTAACATATTTGAATATTGAAAAGGCATCGAAAAGTAAGTTCTCTGAAAAAAATGGAAACTGCTTTTAACTTGTCTTCTTTTTCCCTGCTGTCAGCCAGTGACTCGTCCCCCAGTTCCGGGCCCTCTTACTGGAACTTTAATCGTTCTGCCATGGACTACACCCCTGTGTTGAGGAAATATCAGTACCAGATTGCCAGCAGATCTCCCCAGTCTGCCAAGAAACGCTCCTCAGATGATCCAGATCACCCTGCTAAATATACGGGAGATGAGGTGAGAAGCCTTAACTAAAATAGGAACCATCTGAGATGGGCCAAAGTGTCACAATCTGGTGATGATTTCAGGGAGTTGGGAGAGTAGTGGGGTCAGAAATAGTGTGGTGCAATAATGAATATAACCAAATAATTTGTTCATAACTATATCTGTTTTTTTTTCTTAATAATAGCTTATTGCTCAAAAATCTTGGCTTTAAAAAAAGTATATTTTTTCTACTTGTATTTTTTCCTAATGCAAAACTATATTTTTTATTCTTAATGTTAGGAATATTATACTGTATGTAGATCCACTTGAAAATTCAGATTTTTGCTAAAGAGAGAAGGAGGGGAAGGAAGAGAGAAAATGAAAAAAAAAAGAATGTTGAAGGCATGACTTGATTTTATTGGTGACTTGATTACATTTCAGGTTTGGCTGAAGTTGGGAGTGTCAAGAGAAGAATTGGACTGCTGGACAGAAAATCTACGCAAGGTCTGTCAGAGTTTGAGATGCAACAGTTCATTTCATTTGCTTTATAGTTTAGATCACCTTGCTTCCTCTTGGGTTGTGTAATAGGTTGAATGCTTACTGCACTGTCAGAATGCCTTATTTATTCTAACAGCTCTCAGGAAACTTAATATGTAAAATTTGTACAACTTATGATCCTTGAGATAAAATTGAAGCTGTTATTTAAGAATGTGGTTGTTGGACTCGGAGAGTTGAGAGTACAGTGTTCATGTAAACATATCATTGCAATCAACTGAGACTTTCTCTTTTTGCTGACTTAGGGTCTGGGTTATACAGTCTTTTGCACTTCTGAAGTGTTTAGTACATGGTGTTTCTAAAGGATGCTGATATCTTTGATGCAGTTGTGTTAATAGGATCTTCTGATTTCTTCCAGTGGTTAAGCCAGACTATCTTCAGGAGACTGGTGACTCAGATCAATGAGATTAACAGAGAACTAAGCAAGATAGGATGTGAAGATATGCAGATTGGAGGTATGCTGAATATAATTATAATATCATACATATTTAGATTATATGTATGACATTTTAGAATTGAAATTTTTCTCAAAAGCCGTCCTTAAGCTAAAATGGTGAGTTTGTGATTGCAAATGTCTTCTTTCTGTTATTCAAAATGAAGCAGATTTTAAAGGGTCATAGTAGTGCCCTGCATTTTAAGTAAACTATTTATATTTTTGATATTCCAGAAGTGAGTATCTCCACACTTAAACAGTTAGGAGTCACCAAGAGCCAGTATGTGCCCACCCTGAACACTGTGATCCCCTTCCTAGAGGTCACTTCAAAACAAGAGTACTTAGTGGAGAGGATCAAAGGTAAGCAAATCATTGTGGTTCTTACACAGTAATAATAATAATAATAATAATAATAATAATAATGTAATTTCTTTCACAAAATTTGTTATATGCCTTATGCAATTATTGAAGATTTAAAAAGCATTGACAGTCAAAAGAAGATTTTATATGGAGATCATTGTGATAGTAAAGTAGGGTCAGTGTGCATAAAGGTACAAATTTTAAAAAATTTTTTCGTCAGTACATCAGTCGTTATTACTTAATGTGATATGTTGACTTTCTGATTACTTTTGGTACATTGTAGCAAAGATCAATTGTTTCTCCAATTTTATTTCACTTAACTTTCAGAGTTAGGCAAGGGTGGCTGTCTTAGTGACTTTAACTGGAATGGAGGTTGTGATGTCAAAGGAAAACCCTGGGGGGAGCACCTGCCAACTGACTGTGCAGTAAGTGTCACATCAGACCTTTTGTAAATAAAATTCTATCCACGATATTTATGTTTTGACCCACTTTAACATGTACCCTAAATGCAAAGGAGCTTTTTCCCTTCCTTTATTGTCATGTTATTTATATATTTATTTAATAATAAAATAATTATTATTAATAATTAATTTATTATAAGTAAAAGGTAACATTATACTAATAAAATATTTTCCACGTTTTTAGATAGTGATGCACGCATTGTGTAGCTACATGGATTCCCGCCTTCCTCCTCATCCAAAGTACCCAGATGGCAAGACTTTTACCTCAGAACATTTTATCAAGACGCCAACAAAGCCAAGTAAGATGTGTGACTACTGATGGTGATAATGCATAATAAATTTGGTTTATTATGTGATACTAATTGAACTTTGATTCAACTGGGAAGGCTTCTTCCTGTTATTCAGTTTTTTTACATCTCTGTTTGTTGTTTGTTTAATATATTATGTATTTCACAATTGTAAATCATACATCGTAATCAAGATGTGTGCAACTATATGGAAGTGCTCACTTCTGTAAGGTTTTATTTTTTAAGTTATAAAACTTTATATTTGTAAGCTTTGAGAACTTGCTCCTACATATTGACATAGATTATTTGTGTTTATTCCGTGTATTTCAGATCTGACAAAGAAAGATCAGCTACTGTTGTACCAGACTGGCATCAATCCCCCACATTACAAAGTCATCAATGGAGATGACACTTGGGATGTTGTTAAGGTAATATATGATGTTTAATAAACTTACCAATGCATGGAATAATGTATAATTTGAATGTCATATTTTGATTTCATATTAATTAAAAAATACTAAATGCTTAACAGCATATATTCAGTGACTTGATACAGAATCATATAGGAATGTATAGAATTTTAGAAGACATATTTACCATGATCTTTGTAATATCAAGCAATATGCCAATTTGATATCAATTTAAATTTGTGGCTTATATCAGTGCTGTTATTAGAAAGTCGGGGAGTTTTAGTTATTTATTGGTGCAATATTCAGATGTAGGTTATATTTTTTATATCTGTTTCAGGGAAGAAATAACATGTTCCATTGTATTTTACTGTTTTTACATCATATCAAGACAAAAGAGCATGGGATGCTAGGGTAACTATACTGCAACCCGGAATATTTTCCATTTTTTTAAATCTCTTGTCCAATAAATCTTCTTTATAGAAATTACAAATTTATTATAACCGGACAATCATGTTTTACTTACTAGTTTATTGTGTTCATTTTACATCATTCAGTATTCATAAATTGGATGTGATTATAACCATTAAGGATCTTTGCCCTTACATTTGATGCTATGTTAGTATACACATTAAGATTGCTTAATTTATTCATGTCTTTACCATTTGTTTTCAGGAGAGTAAACCTAGGCATGTCAGGAATCAACATTCTTTGGGTTCTAGATACATCATGACACTGGCTGATGGATATGAAAAGTGAACAAAGCCAAAAAAAAGCTTGAAAAGACATGCTTGAATTATCTGGGGCTCATTAGTGCAAGCAATTTTGATTCTGTGGATAATGATGCACCCAGAGAAAAAAAAAAGGAAATCATTATTTATCCAAATTGCCATCTTAAAGTTGTAGGTGTATTTCACAGCAAACAGCAATTAACATGTTTTAGTCAAACATATTCAGATGAAATAACAAGAAACAAAAAGAGGCACAATTTTTACCTTGATCATATTTTTTTAAAAACAATTTTAGGAATGTTATATTATTTTTTTGTATTTTTGTGTGTCTCAAACAGATCCTTCAGCATACTGCAAAACTGAAGTTAAGTATTGTGGCTTAGTAAAGCAAATGTAATTGGACGTCCACTTTGTAACTGCTACATCTGGCTGTGACTGTTCCTGGTCATGAAATAAATTTTTAATTTAAGTGTTGGTCTTTCCTTTGTTTCACTATTTTTCAGGCTGATAGGCATACATATTACAAACACCTGCAATTGTATATAATTAAGTGATAAGAATTTTTTAAGCCAGAAGAAATGCTAAAGTATTTACACCTTAATTAATATAAGTAGGCATATTTGATCCTTAAAAATAAATTTAAAAAATAGATTTGAAAAAATATTGTGAACAAGCCAAAATTTTAGTAGGAATACCAAGTTTATCAATCCTTAACATTTGGTAGTACCTTGAGAAGACAAAAAAAAATACTAAAACACTCAATTTTACATAAAACCACATAAACTCCTTTCTTAAAACATTTATTACATAACATTTTTTTTTGTTCTATTTAATATTAAATCTATGTTAACTTGTATATTCTCCATCATAACAAACATCAGTGTTGGTGTGAGAATGGACACTTGGCTTGGGTTTGTTCTCCTGTTGTGGCTCTCTCTGTCGGGTCATGCACACCATCGTCTAGGTGTGATGTCAGGCACCAGCAAAAGTCCTCATTTGTAAGTTTGGGGAGGACACTCCACTGTTGCATTCTTGGAAGATAACTGATTCAACACTGTTCTTAGACTTAAAGGCACACAATGTAGGATTTAAAATGCATAGTGAGTACATGGATGGCTTCTTGTTAAACTTTTCTAAGGACAATTAAAACTTTTGAAAGAAATATGTCAGATAAATGGCCTTAATAAATAGCACAAAAAAATAATTATAATCACTGCCCCCTGTCTATCTTCATACAGTTTGATAACAGCACTAATCATGGCAAAAGTATCATGGCGAGTATCAGGAAAGACATTAAATGTTGGCAAATAGGGGGAAAATGCTGTTTACCCCAGGATAATTTGTTAAATACGAATTTTGGCACGGAAAACCTGGTTTGTGTGCCTTTAAGTCTAGTAAGTGCAATCGCATATTCGTATGATGGAAAAATATATCACCAATGCTGGATCTCCTCCCGCGACTCTGGTAGCACCACAAAAGGGTTTGGTACGTGCCAGTTCCATTCAGAATCAGAAATTTTGTGTTGAAAAGGTGCTTCTCAGCTCCCAGCTCCCTCATCCATTGAATAAGACTGTTTATGAGTTTCCTCAGAATTGCCAAACTTGTAAGTGAGGTCAACCTCTACATACCTGGACACTTTTCTGTGAGGTTTAAGTTCTAATGTTCCTGTAATTTCAGTGTCCTGTGCTACATCTTGTGTTTCCTTGGTGTACACTATGCACTGCTCCCAATGTGTGGGTCTGGAAATTGATTCAGTGTTATTCTTTATAATTCTTTATAACAAGTCTTGTTATATTTTTAAAAACAAAATATCATACCGACATCATTTTCTTATAAACCAATGCCTTATAAAGAATCGCAGGTGAGATGTACACTCTTTGTGCATGTACAAATTGGCAAACTATCTTGTGACATCTTGTGATATCTTAGTCATTGCCAAGGCGTCAATATTATTCAGTGGACTGACAAATCATGTGTATGAACTGTAACTTGACAATAAGTGCAAGTCGGCACTAACACTGGATTTTAAAATTTAAGATCTTAAAAGTCACATAAGCATGCAGGTTACAAAAACTCAAGTACCCATCTTTCACTTTTAAGTATGATAAAGAATATAAGATATTTTAAACTGTTTCTATCTCTTCAAGAAAAACTGTAGAGTGCACTTACTCAGCATATGGGGAGGTGGACAGTTGAGAGTGATCAGGGAATGTGACGTCAAACCATACTACAAACCCGCAAACTCTGGAGTATCCAAAACACTTGAACTGGAAATTGCCCTGTGGAAAAAAAGTGAAAATAGTGCAAACTACATACTTTTAGATTTTACTTTGTTCTCAGCATAAGAATATGTATACACTTAAGCCTGGATGATCTAAAAAATAGGAAATTGCTCCTCAGTCTTATCACAAAAAAATAAAACTCTTACAAAAGTGGAAAAAATTATCTCGGGTGATCTAGAAATATGAGAAATACCAAAACAAATAAAGCCTTACAGAAAAGCCATGACTGCATACCTTTAGAAAGGAATTAATTAAATCATTAAACATGTTAAATATTGATTTCATTAATTACATTATTTTCTAGTTGAAGTTATTAAATGAAACAAAGAACTGCCATAATAATGATGATTAAAAGTTTTTCAATTTTCACAAGGTTTCTCCTTAGACACAATAATATACCTTAACACTGCTGAGATCTTCTTCCTGTACGGTTTTCAGATTAATGTGACACACTTGGCAGGCATGAGCTTGAACATTCTGAGGGGGCACCAGCTGAACATGGACCACATCTAGAATAGGAAAATAAACTAATTATTTTTTGCTAAAATAGTGGTTTTTGACAAAATAATTATCTTCATACCTGCCTCTACGAAGGTTAACTTCAATAATAATATGGTCGACCATTACAATGGTGTAACCGTAAGAATGAGGAATGAACCAACCAATATATTTCTCTAGAAATAAATCATAGCATTCAAGGGATGATTCAATTTATCATTAACTTTACTACTAGTAAATTTCTTTTCCTAGAATACAGGGGACCAAAATTTTATCTCACCTGTGAGGCATTTCCTTGCATACGCCTGTAAAGATGCCATCTCCACTCCGTAGAGTGGTCTCATTTCTTCCCAAAACTTTAACCTAAAAATCAAAATCTAATTATCATTAGAAAAATTTATCTATAATATATTGTGGTCTTATTTCTTAAAGAAAATTCAATCCAAAAATTAACATCTGCTTATCAAAAAGAAAATACCTATGGGTTGAGATAATCAAGATTGGATACGACCAATGTCATTGTGCCAGATGGGATTTTTACACTGTGTCAGGTTGGAAAATATAGAAAATAGATTGTGTTGATTAAGAATTGAAGGTGAATGCTATCTGTATCTTCCCATCAATTTCAGTGTAATATGTAAAGAAGTGGTAGTTTATTTATTATAGTGACTTCTATATTCATTTATATCCAGACCATAGTGCCTATAAGTCAACAGAAAACAATTTTGTTAATTGAATATATATATAAGAAAATTATGATAAATTATACTGACCTGTCTCTCAGATCTTCACAGTCTCCTAGAGGAGCTATAAAAACAGATGCCGTGTTTGGGAAGAGAACACCATTCTAAAGAAACAAAATCAATTCTTTCAATTTCTCCAAGCATATATATATGCATGATCATATGTCAAAGGGCTTCATTAGACTAACTCATAATTGGTCAAACTTTTTACTCTTATACCTTTCACTAGAAATATCAGGGGCTGATTTAGGCCGTCTTCTGGGTCTTCCAGAAGACGGTCAGATTTTCAAGTTTACATTGACAGGTATCTAATTTTTTCTGTTGGAAGACGGTCAAAATTGGAGGATGGATCATCAAAGATGTTTTGGAAGACTGTCAGAAAATAGCTCTGGATCCGCCACTGAATATATGCATGTAATCAAGTTATCTAAGTACTGTATGTGTATTGGAAGCATGTATGTGGATGATACACAGAATAGATAACCTCTAAATGTTACTGTGATTTATGCATTTAGTGCGCATGCTCAATAAACTTATAATCATTTGCTGGCCTTAGTTTTTATATTATATATGAATGAAATTTCAACTGAAAAAAAAATTCTCTTGGTGAATTTGATGTATAAAATAAGAAAAAAACTCACATTTTTTAGCCACTTTTCCCTGGCAAATATAATGGAACTCAGCATCCATTCATATACAAGGAGATATCCCTAAATATTGATACAAAGGAGTTTTACTAGCATATATGCAAATTGTGAAATACTGAAATAAACTGACCACAGAGCTACATTACAAAAATACTTTTAAGTTTTTAAATATCAAATAATAAACCATCTTGAACCTGATCAAAGTATTCTTTACTATTACAGAGTGTATTACAAACAGCTAATAGTGCCCATGGCTTTTTAGAGAAGTATCAATCAAAATATGTCTCACCTACCATCCATTCACTTACAATCACATCTACCATCTCTGGGAGTTCAATATCCTAAAATTATACAAATAAAATCATAAATTAAATTTTTTAGATGAAAGGTGTCACTGCAAGGGTCCAATTTTAATTGTCTATCCACATAACACTTACTTCTGAATAACTTTTTTTACTTTTACTAGTAACTCTGTATTAACCTATGCCATTGAAAAAGGTTAGATGTTTCACTTCCCACTGGTTTCTTAGTAGAAAAGATATCAAAAACATATCTATAGAAATTTTCATAAAATATTTCTACAATTTCCAATGGGAGGATTTTTATCTAAAAAAAGAACCTAAAATTTACCCTCAAAGTTCACTCTGCTTACACATGTTGCATGCATGGTGCATGGTCCTACCTCTACTTTCCCCTGTATTACTGATACTCTGTCCTCAACTCCATTGCACTTAATGACTAGCTTGGCCTGCTCAGCCATGGACGATGCCTCAACTGCATACACTGCAAATGGGGAACAGTTTTATATAAGTTTACTGTTGAGAACCTAATAAGTAGACTGAATTTGAAGGTTTTAACTTGGTGTAATGACATGTTTATCAGTCAAGAATTACTTGTATGTTAATTAATTGTAAAAAAACATATTTACTGTCTGGGGCCACTTTCAAAAGTGCAATGCTATGTATTTTGCATTGATAAACTATTTGTTAGAGTTGATTTTTGTGCATGATTATAGTACTATAATTTATATAATTATAGACAGATATAAGTAAGTAAGTGGTCCTAATCATCTTACCATGCTTTGCCCCAGCTTGTGCACAAAATACACTTAGTATACCTGCAATAACAGAGGCATTAATAAATTTTTTAGTCTGAATGACTTGCACTATTATAGCATGTTATTATCTTTTTTATGGTTTTATCCTCACTAACTTTTCTATAGTCAAATTTGAATGATGTTGACTTAATTTTTGCACCTATTTGAACAATATGATGATTGGCATTAAAATTGATACTTTCTGTTATTCAATGAGCATCCCTTCACTTTTGGTTAAATATTTTAACTTTTAATATCAGTCTCCCATTATCAGACTGTTGACTGACACACACACACTCACAAACAAACACACACATGCGCACACACCTGTGCCTGCTCCCACATCTAGAATGACTTTGTCTTTTATAGCACCACTGCCAAATATTGCAGATCTGAAAATAAAATATAAGAAATGGAATTCTTCACAGCATATCTCAATCAGATTTTTTTTCAATATTTCTCAAATATTTCAAGTTTCATAAACAGGTATATCATAATTAGCTTACTAGTATGCTAAATTTGTTAATAAAATTATATGAAAACAGGGGAGAGGGGGGATCACCTCTATTCAAAAGTTTTTTCAATTCATCAAAATGCTAAGAAACATATTTGGGGGCACCAACCTGTAAGAATTAGTCCTAGCAGTATCCCCCAACATGGTTTCATGTATAGAGATGTCCCCATAGGCCCTGGGAAAATAAGCAGTCATTTTCGGTTACTTGGAAGTAATATACAACAAATATGAACTGTGATAATAGTGAAGATTTTTGGATGAACAAATGGAATGGATTTCTGTAGTTTACTGCGTAATCATACTGCAGAGACACAAAAAGTATATATGCTAAAAAGAATACACATAATGTAATTGTTTTAAAATTTTATTTGACCCAGGTACTGTACAACTGCATGCAATTTGTCATTTAAGTACTAGTGCTAGATACAAAACAAGCATGTGGTATACAAGATTATAATATATATTATGACACACAGTAAAACCTATCAAAATCATTATTCCTTACTATAATTATCCCACGGCTGGAACTTCAAACAATAGGATATTTGCATTTGTATTTCACGTGAATAGTCAGGCCTGTAGCCAAAGGGGGGTGGGGGTGGGGGGTGGGGGTGGGGTGGGGGTGGGAGGGATGCAGCACCATTTGAAGTACCATTTTCAGTGTCCTTTTTGCAGGGAAAAGTCCACTCTGGCTAAAATTTGATCTAGGTACAAGTACCCTCTACCAGGGCGACTGATAGATTTTTTTTACAGATATTCACAGATATGTCTCTAGAAAGATAGATGGTCATTTTGGTTCAAACTCACCCTGTTGAGAAATCCCATGTGGAAACAATTATCTCTGCGCGCGCGCCAAAGGCTTTGTACTCGCTCTGCATGAGCTGAGCTTCAAAACAATGTGATAACTGCTTGTTATGCAACCAGTCTAAGGCTTTTTTATCACAGAAGAGCAAGTGATTAAAGTCAGAGCAATTACTGTCTTGATTGCTGTCACGCAGACTTAGACTGGACCTGCTAAGTGGCAGTGCCTGAGCAGTTATGCAAACAATTACCAGCCATGTAATCAGCCTTGAGATTTCTCAACAGGGTGAGTTTGAACCAAAATGACCATCTATCTATCTATCTAGAGACATATCTGTGAATATCTGTGAAAAATCTATAAGTCGCCCTGGTAGAGGGTAAGGCACAAGCAAGTTTCATACAATTAAGTTAAAGGTTCTCTTTTACAGAAAAAGATCCCCTTTTGACATTCCTGGGAGGACGCTTCCGTGCATTAAAAATGCAATTAAGCTATCTTTCAAGAACTGGCCATGAGATAAATATTGAACACTCATATATTACATGTACTACTATGAATACTCTGAATAATACCTGAAGTAAAACCTATCAAAATCAGCACTGCCGTCAGCTTCCTCATTTGCACTTAGCCGTGGCCTGAAAAATAATTATATATGTCAATAATAATAAATTATTAATAAATCCTTATTAGGATCATACTTATTACTGGAATCAAAAGTATTTTACCAGAATCAAGTGTTAAAGTACCAGAATCAACCGTATTATATAAGTTATAAATATATTCTGTCAGAGCATCAACAGGTTTTCTTTATTAAGTCTTAAATTCTTGATACTGAAGTTAACTTAAAAAAAGATCTCACTGGGCAAAAAGGCACTAAAGTTATACAACTGTAACAGTACAATTTGTTTCTGATGTTTGACATATTGCTACTATTTTAAAGGGCAAACAGTGCCATTTAGTACAGTTTACAACTATGATTCAGCTGGTCAAAATTCTAATTTGAAGAGGGGGACCTTTGGTGGATCAGGATCCCCCTGACATCCCCTAAATCCGCCAATGATTATTATCAATACGTGACTTCGTTAATTTTCTCAATAAATACAAAACTTGATAAGTTGACCTGAGACAGACGCCTCGAACTTGGCAAATTCCTTTATCACACAAATTAAGCACATTACTTCTTCATCAGCTCACCGTTTTCTTCTACATGCCATGTTCACACAAATTCGTGATTACGCTGTGTATGTCTAAAACCAATGCATCTACTCAGTAGACCTTCTAGCCTAATCAGGGAGAATACACATGCTGCTGAAGGAGCGGAACCGGAAATCTACTCCGCTTGGATCGGATGCAAGCGTTTTGCCATTTTCACGGCGGTTTCATCATTTTTTGCTTGTCGGTGCTTTTTTTTGATGATATGGTTTTTCTAGAACACATCCAAGGTCTTATGGCACGTAAGCGGTAAAAGATGTGTTGATCTTGTACACATTTCAACTGTTCCAATATCTATGTTGAAAAGATGTGGCTTCATAAACCACTTCTGACAGAACAGCGTCACAGAATTCAATTTTGAAAATGATATCTGAACAGCAATAATGCAATCTAAAGAGCCTCGTGGAACTCAAACCAAACTGAAACGGAGAACTCGGACCATTAATGAGTTTGACGGTGAGTGGCAAGATGGAATCTTTTTATTCCTGCGTTTTATGATGGGAAGAAATCGAGATGATTATGTTAGGTATATCAGAAAAAAATTCAAACTGATCAGAAAAACATAATATCTATATCTTCTGAAAATTAATGCACAACAGATTGCAATTCTAATGGAATTTTTAAAAATATTCCTACAAGCAACAAAGATTTTGAAGTTTTAAACTGCTATATATATTACACCCAAAGTGTCCTCACTTCTCAGCCAAAAACCTGTGACCACTGACCAGCAGTGATTATCAGCTGCAGCAGAGCACCCTGTGTGTGGGGCTTTGTGTACAGAGCCTATTGTCTGGCTTACATAGCCTGTGACCAATCAGGACAACCCTATCTCCCTGTGGTCATAGGGTAATTTATACATCTATCTAGGGTTTTTTTTATCTCTTTTACAAAAGGAATCAAATAAACTATACTTCGCATCGTTCAATTTTCATGGGACTTTTTCCATTAGATTGCAAATTTTGTGAAATTTTAAATGGTATAAACTACAAAAATAATGATGCAGTCCTTACTTGAAAATTTCCAACTTTTTGAAAATTTTCGTTGTGGCAAAACTTTAAAACATTGGCTAATTAATGTTCTCAAAGATACCAACATGGGAAGGTCATGTGACCAGAATTTAACCTTTGATTGACAGCTTAGTTAGTAGGTGGGTTGTATTGGTATATTTACACAGCGCTAAAAGAGAGATTTCAAAAGGGATGTCCTTCGTGACCTGTCAGCAGGCCGGTCACAGCTTTGCCCAGCACTGCAGCTGGACAGTTTCTACTCTGGCGCCCTTAGCGGATTGTGATATACCTAATTATACATATTGGTCTTTTTTTTTTTTTTTGCTAAACCAATGAATTTGAGAAGTGCACATAAACAAATTGTGCAGATTTGTTAAGTTGTATCAACAATATTGATTATATAATAGTAATATATTTTACTTGTATATAACCCTATTATGTTGGGAATGAAAGTTTTCCCACATATTACCTTGCCACTGGACTCGTTTTTTCAAGTGTGTTGCGCTGTGTTGCACTGTATTGTGCTGTATTGAGCTATTCAGTGACATCCGAGATTACTCAAAGTCACCACACAAATTCATTTTGAAAAGATATTGATAATCACAGAGCTATATGTTATGTGTGGGGGGTTCCTGCAAAAGTGCTGAAATTTTGTAATGCATGAATAAAAAAAACTAATTAGAAAAACATAAAACAGACTTTCTTCTTCTTGAAATGGTCGTGCAAATGATGGCTGAACGAATTGCGGGCTAAGCTCTTATTTTCCCCCATTTTTGTGTATTTTCAGATTCAGACTTGAATCAGGCACCCATTGCAGTGAGTCATGACACCAGTGCTATTGCAGTACCACAGCCACATGTTCCAAACCACCTTCTAACTGTGTCTTTACTGGAGCTCATCTGCAGCATATATGAGCCAGAGCCAAGGAAAAGCTATGAGATATTCAAAGGTGCATTTTGGAGAAATTTCTCTTTTGCATTAGAATAATTTTTCGATATTTGATAATTTTGAATCATTTATGATGTGGCTGAAGTTTTGGAAACATTCATGTATGATATAGTAAATAGTGACAATAGGTTTTTAGGTACAAGATAAAACTTCTTCTGTGGTGATAGATGGCAAAAACATCCTTTGCAGTGTTAACTCATTGTTATGATTGGATGTGAGGTAGAGATTGGCTTTTAAGGGAGAAAATCAAAACGGATCAAATCTATAAATTAGAAGAAAAAAGTTCAAAATGGGTGACTGAGTATCTCCACACATCCTGTCATAATTGATGAAATTTAATATTTTGTATTTATAAGAAACATGTACTAGTAACACCTGAGTTCTTTCTTTTCTTTTTTTTCTTTTTATATTACATTTCAATATGTATTGAATGAAATATTCACAGATGGGACAGTTCTGTATCCTGTCATATCCTAAGTCATTTACAGAACTCATATATGTCTTTTTTAAAAACTGCCAGTACTGTGCAGTTACCTAGCCAGCCTGAAGGTGATGTCCCCACTTGTTTACCTGGATGAGCTTAGTATGATCCGGTCACAGTATAGAAAACAGCTGCCAAACCTACTGAGAGCTGCCAGGAGGCATGTCAACAGTGTGAGTGATGTCCAGTTATTGAAGGATTTGTACATTTTAAAGTTGTTGAAATTTTTTAAGTATTGTACTGTGTACAGTAGACCTCCTTATAATAAGTTATTTTTGACTATTATATGTGAAGTCCATTATAGGTATAATACCAGTACACTAACAGCTCTAATGGTTAATTTTGATATTTGCAGGAATTTGGTCCACCAAAGGCTTTGCCCTCCTCCAAGATGTTCCCAACAGTAAATCCACAGGAAAGGTAAAGCAATTGCATGTATATCCACTAGTTACTACACGTGTTCACACAGACATGTACGTGTATGCAATAATGCATGCATTCTTTCATGCATGAGAATGTATGTGTGCTCACGAGGGCACACCCTTTTGCTCATGGTAACATGCTGTTGCACACACATATAAACACTTTGAAAGAAAAATTTATTATTTTTAAAAATTATAAATAACATTTCCAAACTTAGTTACATCAGTACCTAATTTTGATGAATACTCACTAGTCCCAAATATTTGAATTAAAAAAATTGAAAATATAGTCAGTTATGGTTGTCCTTGTACCATGGCAGCAATAAATAACAAATATGACTGAAAAGTTATTGTGTTGGTGGCAAACTTCAGATTGCTATAAAGGTTGAATGTTTACCAGATTCAATATTTCACTGACAGTACTTGTTAGTCTTGGTCACTTCAGTCAGTGTGTGACCCCCAGTAGAGGGGTCTTAAACTCACGAGGGTACAGGTACATTAATACATAGTAAATGATTTAGTAATAAAGTTATTAGAAATGGTATAAAACAAGATTTAAGTGCAGGGACGTGTCTGTACATGACTCGTGAGTTTGAGAATATAATTCTCAAAAATTTGATTTAGAGCAACAATCCCAAATAGGATACCTCTGAATGTAACCATCAGTTTTCATGCAGCAACTGTTTTCTTTTTAGTCTCATACGTAATGCGAGCTTTGACGATCTGATGCACATGCACACATCAAGGTACACAGAGGAGTTTGTGGAGCAGGAGAAACTGGGCAGAGGAGGGTTTGGAAGTGTATATAGGGTTAGTATGCATTGCTTATGCATCAGGGGCCAATTCCATAAAAGCATTCTAACTTAGCATGATACTAGACCTTAGAATGATTCTAAATCCCTAGTTGTATACTTGTTAGCAATCAACTAATTTCTATTCCATAAAACCAAACTAAGAATCATTCTTACTAGTTGCTTGCTAAGATTTGGCTAGAATGGTGTATTCATAGGAAAACCACAAAACCACAGGGTCAGTTACGCCAAACAAAAGGCAGTGACAGTGAAAGCTGAGCTGATTGCAGGCTGAGGGAAGTACTGGTCAAGACATTACCATGTATTCTATAAAAGCCCTATACAAAAAGGGGTCAAAATGGCAACTTCAGGGAAGAGACAACGAAAGCCCAGTTATTCAACACAAGAAAATC